TCAATGCAACTCAGGCATGTGCCCTGCCTGGGAATCGAACCCTGACCTCCTGCTTCATAGGTCACCACTCAGCCACTGAGCCACACCAGCCAGGCTACACTGTCCTTTCAACCCTGTACCAACACTTAAGGTTTGGACTTATATTCACCCACAGTTTATTAATGAGGAAGCTGAGACCCAGAGGCGGGGAAGTGCCTGTCAGGGCTCTCGAGGCTGGTAAGAGGCAGAGCCGGGATTTGAACCTCCACCGTGCGTGTCAGAGGCTGGGCTGCTAACCCGAGGCTCCTTGGCTGGCCCTGTTGCCTGTCCAGCCTTCATTCTGGGCCAGTGAGAGAGGGAAGGGCAGGGCAGGAGGGTGGGTAGATGGCCTGTCAGTAGTGACGTGGGGTCCCTGGAACCTGGCCGCCAGGAAGTCATCAACGGAGGGGGGGGGGTGCAGACAGAAGCTTCCTGGGTGTTATGTGTGTACCCTCAGACACACAGGCGTGTGCACACACGTGTGGACCGCCCACCACTGCTGGGGCACACACTTGTTCTGTGGTTGCGTCCATAGATTCGTGTGAACACACGGATGCCATAACATGTGGCAGACGCCGGGGCCCACAGCCATGCGTGGGGGATCTCCCCGCGGACACCATGCATGTGGAGGTGATGAGCAGAGTTGAATCAGGCAAGTGGTCCAGTCTGAGTTCCGTTCCTTGTGCTGATGCTTAGTTCATCAATACACAACACACCATTGCTGAGCACAGCAGTGTGCCAGGCACCATGGGGACACGTCACTGGCCATGGGGCACCTGGGCCTGACCTCCGGGGGCTCACCCTCAGGGGCAGGGAGCCTCTGGGGGAGCTATGATGTGGGTGATTCCTTCATTTGGGGGAACCTGTACAGAAGCTGATTTTCTGAGTTCTTGTGCACACAGGCCCCTGGAGAGCTTGCTAACATGCAGGCTCTGGTGGGGTGGGCCTGGGGTGGGGCCCGGGACTCTGCATTCTAATAGCTCTCGCGTGAGGGTGAGGCTGAGGCTGAGGCTGGAGCCGCATTCGGAGAAGCAGAGAGTCCAAAGGACGCTTTGAGAGTCTAAGGCCATGTGGGGGCAGGGGTGGGACCTGGGGAGGGGTCCAGGGTGATGGGGGTGGGAGACTTGAAGGAGACAGCATTTTAGCAGAGACCTGAAATGCAGAAGCGGCCCTGTGGGTATCTAGAGAAGAGGCTGTGGGGACACCTTGTGCAAAGGCCCTGGGGCAGGACGGTGTGTGGCATGATGGAGGAGCAGTGAGGCCCAGGGGGGCGGAAGCAGAGTGTGCAGGGGGCGAGAGGGAGGAGGTGAGGGCAGGGAGGGGCCGGTGAAGGCAGGTCATCCTCGGCCTTGTGGGCCCCTGGGAGGACTTAGCTTTTACCCGGAGGAAGGTGAGTCCTGGAGGCAGAGCGGGCACAGCCCTGACAGAGGTGCTCACACAGGCCCTCTGGTGGCTGCCGGGGGAATGGGCGGAGGGGAGCAAGGACGGGAACCAGGGAACCAGGGAACCAGGGTGGAGGGAGGGTCCTGAACTGGTCCAGGTGGGAGGTGATGCGGGCTGACCAGGGCGCGGACTGGGAAGGTGAGAATTCTGGGTAAATTAGAAGGCAGAGCCCACAGGACTTGCCGGCATTGGTGGGAGGGTGAGGGAACGGGGTGGGGGCAGCACGGGCTTTGGAGGGAGCTGAGAGCGATTCCCGAGCCCTCGGCTGGAACAGGTGGGACCCGGGAAGCACCGCTTGGGCTGGGGGAGCAGCAGCTGTCCGTCAGGAGTGCAGTTTGGTCGACATGGTCAGCTCCGTCCGGTGGAGACCCTGACAGCGTTTATGCTTTATCTGTTGTTTTGGAACTTACCAGCTGATCCTAACACTTATACTGAAGCTGTGGGTTTCACGGGTAGCCCGTGCCCGGCCAGTGTGGCTCGGTGGCACGTGCCTTTGTCCTGTGCACCAAGAGGTCAGTGGTTCGATTCCTGGTCAGGGCACATGCAGCCGGCAGTCCATTGATGTTTCTCTCTCATCAGTGTTTCTATTGTTCTATCCCTCTTCCTTCTCTCTCTAGACATTAAAAAAAAAATCTCTTTTATAAAAAGGGTAACCCAGACACCCTGGCAGAACGAACTGGGAGAAATGTTCCAGAAGGAGATTCCAGCCTGTGACAAACGTAGAGTCACGAAGGCGGTGCGACGCCTCCCACTTGGCAATGGGAGAAGATGGAGGGTGGCCTTGAGGCCCTCCCATCCCTGCCTCGGTCTCCTCACCTGAGGTGGGCGTCCACTGGGATGGCCCACCCCCGTGGGAGTGACCGCCGAGGGGCCAGCCACAGAGCATAGTCTCCTCTGGGTGGGAGCTGTCGCTTTATCATTTATTTTAAAATAAAAAATCAATAAGATGTATGTGTGTATATATATATACACACATACATCTTATTGATTTTTTTTACAGAGAGAGATAGAGAATTAGAAACATCGATGAGAGAGAATCATCGATCAGCTGCCTCCTGCACACCTCCTACTGGGGATGTGCCCGCAACCAAGGTATATATGTACATGCCCTTGACCGGAATCGAACCCGGGACCCTTCAGTCTGCAGGCGAATGCTCTATCCACTGAGCCAAACCGGTGAGGGCCGTTTTGTCAGTTTATACACTGGTGCCCAGGACAAGGCGCCGCTCCCTCCCCCGTGGGCGTGAACGGGTGCCGCCGGGCTGCGGGCAGGAAGCGTGCCCCTCTGCAGGCACGCAGACGTGTGGGTGCCCTGCATGGCACGGGGCGCACACGCTGGCCACACGCTCCGTGCCTGGTGGCAGCCCCCGGTGACCAGGTGCCGGGGCAGGTGGTGGGGCTGCTTCCCGGCAGGCGGGCGCCAGGCGGCTGCTCCAGAGGCGCCTCGAGTTTCATGGAGAGAAGCAGATGGTCTTAGGGGCCTGGGGGAGGTGCTAAGGCCTCCGGTAACCCCAGGTGGCGGGGGGGGGGGAGGGCCCTGAGGCCGGGTGCAGTGGGCTGGCCCTGACTCCCCTAAAAGAGCCTGTGGGGTTCGCTTCCATGTTATCACCAGAGTGACTAACGGGAAAAGACAAGCAGCAGCCGCACACGCATTAGGACGGCCGCTGTCAGGAAGCAGGCGACGGGGAGTGGAGGCCAGGGTGTGGAGAGATCGGAACACTGCACTGCTGGTGGGGATGCAGAGCGGAGGAGCCGCTGTGGGAAACAGTGTGGCATTTTCTAAAGAGGAAACGAACACAGAGCTGCCGTCTGATCCAGCAGTGTCACTTCTGGGTGCCCACCCAAAGCACTGGCAGCAAAGAGATTCCACGCCCCTGTTCACACAGCGCCATTCACAGGAGCCGAGAGGCGGAAGCAGCCCAAGTGTCCATCCACGGGGGATGGGTACACACGTGCTCCATCCACGGGGGATGGGTACACGTGTGCTCCATCCATGGAGGATGGGTACACATGTGTCCATCCACAGGGGATAGGTACACGCATGCTCCATCCATGGAGGATGGGTACACATGTATCCATCCACTGGGGATGGGTGCACACGTGCTCCATCCACGGGGGATGGGTACACGCGTGTCCATCCACAGGGGATAGGTACACGCATGCTCCATCCATGGAGGATGGGTACACGTGTCCATCCACGGCGGATGGGTACACACGTGCTCCATCCACGGGGGATGGGTACACACGTGCTCCATCCACGGGGGATGGGTACACGTGTGCTCCATCCATGGAGGATGGGTACACATGTGTCCATCCACAGGGGATAGGTACACGCATGCTCCATCCATGGAGGATGGGTACACATGTATCCATCCACTGGGGATGGGTGCACACGTGCTCCATCCACGGGGGATGGGTACACGCGTGTCCATCCACAGGGGATAGGTACACGCATGCTCCATCCATGGAGGATGGGTACACGTGTCCATCCACGGCGGATGGGTACACGCGTGCTCCATCCACACACGTCTGTCCTGACATGTGCCGCGGCACGGACAGCCCTGTGGACACTGTGTTCAGTGAGCTCAGCCAGACCCAGGACAGAGACTGATGGCCTCCTAGGAGGTCCCTAGAGGACTCAGGTCCCAGAGGCAGAGTGGGTGGTGGGTGCGGGGCTGGGGAGGGAGTTAGTGCTTAGGGAACAGAGTTTCAGTTGCGGGTGTGAGAAGGTGCTGGAGATGGAGGGTGGGGATGGCTGCCCAACATTGTGAATGGACCCAACGCCACTGCACAGGTGGCCCTGGCCCGTGTCACTCAGTGGCTCAGCAGCAGCAGCCGGGCACCAGAGTCACGGGTTCCATTCCTGGTCAAGGGCACGTGCCTGGGTTCCAGCTTCCTTCCTCCACCCTTGGGCAGCTGTGGGAGGCAACCAATCGATATGTCTCTCTCACATCTATATTTCTCTCTATTTCTCTCTCTCCCTTCCCCCTCCTTCCCTGCCACTCCCTCTAAAAATCAATGGAAAAACTATCCTTGGGTGAGGATTAACAAATGTAGAATTTTTTTTTTTTTTTAAGGGCACAGAGCCCTAACTGGTTTGGCTCAGTGGGTAGGGTATCAACCTGCGGACTGAAGGGTCCCAGGTTCGATTCCTTTAAGGGCATGTACATTGGTTGCGGGCACATCCCCAGTAGGGAGTGTGCAGGAGGCAGCTGATCGATGTTTCTCTCTCATCGACGTTTCTAGCTCTCTCTCCCTCTCCCTTCCTCTGTAAAAAACCAATAAGATATATATATTTTTTAAAGGGCACAGAGCAGACAAAGCACCGGAGAGATAAGAGTTACTCTGGCTGGTGTTGTAGGGGGGAGGGGTGGGGTAGGCAAGAGTGGGGCTAGCAGTGAAGTTGTTATTGTAAATCACAGTGTTATCCCAACAGGGAATGTTGGGGGATAATTGAAGGTCCCGGCCGCTGCGGCTCGTGAGCGCCATCTGGTGGCGGATACAGGCCACGCCGCTCACCGCCCACCTCTCGCCCGCAGGTGTCACCTCCTGTCGCCCCGACCTCGCCATGCGGACCCCGCGAGTGCCCCCTCCCCGCCTGGCCCTGCTGCTCCTGGTGCTGCTCCTGGGGGGCGCCCACGGGCTCTTCCCCGAGGAGCCGCCGCCGCTCAGCGTGGCCCCCAGGGACTGTGAGTGGGGTTGGGGGGGGCGTTCCAGGGGAGGGGGGTCCGGGACGAGGGTCTTGTTCCCCAACGGAGCCCGCTGCCCCCGCCCTCAGGGACTCACCAGGCCAGGCTCACCCCGGCCCTAAATCACCCTCCTCCCTTCCCCAGACCTGAGCCACTACCCTGTGTTCGTGGGCAGCGGGCCGGGGCGCTCGGCCCCCACCGAGGGCGCCGAGGACCTCAACATCCAGCGGGTCCTGCGGGTCAACAGGACGCTGTTCATCGGGGACAGGTGCGGGGTGTCCGGGAACGCGGGGTGCGGGGCCCTTGGGGGGGTCTTCGGGATAGGGCGTATGGTTTGGGCTGGGGTGTGACTGGGCACCTGGGGTGGCACCTGCAGGGGTGCTGGGCTCTGGGGGTGGTGGGAGCCCGGTGCCCGCTGTGGTGTTAGCAGATGGGGGCAGCTGCTTGGTCAGAATTCACCGGGTGCCTGCAGGGGGTGCTGAGGGGGTGGCCTTTGGTTTGAAACCTAAATAATGAGGCGTCAGCCATGAGGAAATCTGGGGGAGAGGGGAACATCTGGGCAGAGGGCAGAGGGCAGAGGCCGGACTGTGCTGGTGTTAGGACAGAAAGGAAGTCCGCAGGCTGGAGCACAGTGAGGGGGGAGAGGAGGAGGAGAGGGCAGGAGGAGACCAGGCAGGGTCAGGGCCTCCTGGCTTGAGGGGAAGCCGGGTGTTTACCTGGAGGCAGGTGGGAGCCCTGGGGGGCTGTGGATAAAGGGAGGGAACCTGACTTCGGTGCTCACCGTCGCCCTCTGGTGGCTTCTTTGGGGCAGCAAGTTGGAGAGACTGAGCCTGTCCAGGTGGGAGACGATGGGGCTAGAATGGGGCGGTGGCCGTGGAGGGGCGAGAAGCAGGTGAATCCTCACTGAACATTAAAGGCAGAGGAGACTGGAGTGTTGGATGTGGGAGGAGGAGAAGAGGGGAGCTGAGGGTGGCCTGCACCCTCAGGAGGACAGAGCTGGACAGAGGAAGGTCAGAGGTGGGAGACAGGAAAGCGGGGCACCAGTTTGGGGGACAGTCAGGCTCAGAATGGCCACGCTGAATGTGAGATGACACTGAGGAGCAGCTGGCCCCCGAAGCTGGAGACGGGACTGTGGGCGTGGTGATGAGGGCGTAGCCAGTATTGGAGTGGACGAGGCCGCCCCGGAGGGCAGGGCCGGGGAGGGAGGAGGCCAGAGGGAGTCTGAAAGGAGGGAGGGAAGCCTGGTTTCGGGGCGGGGGCCCTTGTGAGAATGAGCTCCCAGGAGGAGGGGGACCTGCGGGTCAGACACCGTGGAGAGGGGGGAGAGGACAGAGAAGTGACTGCCGTACCAGCTGGCCAACGACCTCAGCCAGCCAGGGCAGGTTCCCATGACATGAGGGGTGCGCCTGGGCCAGGCTGAGGGGTGCTGAGTGGGCACCTGACAGAGGCGTCGGGCCGTTCATCACGGCAGTGTAACCCAGGGCAGCGGTGTGAGCCCAGGTGGCCTGTACAGCATGTGGCTGGGCGGGAACTAGTGCGTCTGTGAACGTTTGAGGAGACGCTGGGGTACACGCACCCATGGAGGGCGTGTTCCGTGTTGGAGCTGCTCATGGCGGAGGTGTGTCCGTGCCCGCGCACGTTACCCGCTGGACACCATGTTGGCCACCAGCGGATGGAATGCTGAAGGCAGAGGCCCCAGTCTCACTAACTGCACCCCTCCCTCAGGGACAGCCTGTACCGGGTAGAGCTGGAGCCCCCCGCCTCCACGGAGCTCCGGTACCAGAGGGTGAGGAGGGGGCGCGGGCGGGAGGAGGAGGGGGCGCGGGCGGGAGGAGGAGGGGACAGCCTTTGGGGCGCCCACCAGAGGGAGCTGACCTTACAATGGGGAGCGAGATGGATCCGGGCCTGCCCGGCAGGGGTTCCTAGGGCCGTTGGGTACCCCTTACCCCTCACCAGCTAGCTCCCTGTGCCCCCAGAAGCTGACCTGGCGCTCCAACCCCAATGACATCAACGTGTGTCGGATGAAGGGCAAGCAGGAGGTGAGTGGGCCTTGGTCACGCCCCCAATCAGCCATGACCACGCTCAAGCTGAACCGGGGCCACACCCAAGGCGAAATCCTCCTCCCCCTCCATCCCAGGCCTGGACCCCGTGTTGTCATGGCTTCGTCCTGAGCCTGGCCATGACCCCCAGATGGTCCCAGTCGTGGCCACGTCCTTAGGCTAGGGTCTTGCCATAGCTCCATCCCTTCACTGGCCGCTGACCTAAAATCAGTGTGGCCGTGCCCCATCTGGGCTCATTTCAGCTGTGGCCACGCCCCTGATGCGGTCCTGAGACCTAGACCCGCCCACACACTTACCCTCCCTTCACCCAGTCCTGGCTCCTCCTCTGCCCCGGCCACTCCCCCCCCCCCGCCCCCCAAGGCCCACAGCACTCCCCGTCCCCCCACCGCAGGCCGAGTGCCGGAACTTTGTGAAGGTGTTGCTGCTCCGGGACGAGGCCACGCTTTTCGTGTGCGGCTCCAACGCCTTCAACCCCCTGTGCGCCAACTACAGTGTGAGTCCCTGCCCCCCGGGGGCCCGGGGGCCCCAGGTCCGACTCCCAGACCTCTGCTCAGCCGCCCGCCCCCCGAGCCGCCCAGGGAGCCTGCCCGGTCTGTCCTCCCTCCTCACCCCGAGCTCAGGGGAGGCTTCCCAAGGAGGCCCGTGTGAGGTCAGGGGAGCCCTAGGTATTTGACCTGTGGCCCAGTAATGGATTCACTAGAGCCGCCTCTCAGACTCATTTAGAGATCAACAGACGGAGCCCAGAGAGGTCGAGTGGCTGGTCCAGTCGCACAGCATCCGAGGCAGAGACAGGCTTCCCTGGGAGGGGGGAGGGGGAGCCGTGGGGCTGCGGGCCGGGGCCGAGCCCTGTCACTCAGGCCCCGTCCCCCCGCAGACAGACACGCTGCAGCCCCTCGGGGACAGCATCAGCGGCATGGCCCGCTGCCCCTACGACCCCAAACACGCCAACGTCGCCCTGTTCTCCGGTGAGTGCCCGCCCCACTCTGACCCTCTGGTGAGGCCCCAGCCCCTGCCAGGCCTGGCACCTTCCACTCTTGGACTTGGGGTCCTGCAGAGGGTGGCTGGGAGACTGCCCGGCTGTGGAACGGCAGAACCTCAGCCGGAGTCAGGGCTCAGCGGGAGCTGGGGTTCAGCTGGGCTCGGGGCCTCCGCAGGGTGGGGCTCAGACGGGCTCAGACGGGCTCACGTAGGCTCAGAGAGGTGGACTGAGAGTCTTGGAAGACCGAGTGTGGACCCACACCACCTCCGGCCTCTACGACCCAACCCCTCACGGCTCTCCCCGTCGCTCCATCCAGAAGGAATGCTCTTCACGGCCACCGTCACCGACTTCCTGGCCATCGACGCCGTCATCTACCGCAGCCTCGGGGACAGGCCCACCCTGCGCACCGTCAAGCACGACTCCAAGTGGTTCAAAGGTGGGCGGGCACTCATCGACCCCCCCACCAGAATAAGAGTCCCAGAGGCGCCAGGGAGGGACTCCCACCTCATCTGGGGCCTCCTGGGCTCTTTAAAGACAGCGCCTGGTGTTGCTGAAAGCACTGTCCCGTGTGCCAAGGTGGCAGTCGTCCCGGGTCAGGGCGATGAGCGCACAAATAAGTGGGACAGCAAATCAGTACCTCTCCCCCCACCCCCCACCTCCCCTCCTCTCTCTCTAAGATAACGTTTAAAGGGCCATGCGAAGATGGACGTTGGACTTGATGGGATGGGTGGTTGGAAGCCCAAATGGAACCACAAGAGGGAGCTACAGGAGCCCAGGGCTTTAGCCCCTGAGGGAGGGAGGTGCAAGAGAATAGGAGACGCTGCTGTTTGTGGGAGGTAGACGCTGCGATTTTAGGGTTCTGACACTCCCCTCTTCCCTCAAAACCCCAACACGTGGAGTCTGTTTTCCTTTGCCTGGGTAATCCACGCATGTCCCCCTTCCCCATAAAAGCGGCCCCCAGGCTGGTGTGTGCCCAGCTCTGAGGCGCCCTTTCTCCGGCCGGGGGGCTGGGTTCTGACCCCCCCTCTCCTGCAGAGCCCTACTTTGTGCACGCGGTGGAGTGGGGCAGCCACATCTACTTCTTCTTCCGGGAGATCGCAATGGAGTTCAACTACCTGGAGAAGGTAAGCCCTGTCCCCTCCCAGGGAGGCGGGGGGGGTGGGGGTGGGAGGGGGGGAATGGAGTTGAGAGGCATCCATTCACCCACACATGCATCCATTCATTATCTCTTTCATCACCCATCATTATCTCCTCCAAATCATTCATTTACCCATCCATCCATCCATCCACTAATCCATCCATCCACCCACCCGCCCATCCATCCATCCCTCTACCTACCCATCCATTGCAGCAGCCAGGCAGTAGATGCAAAGACTGCCATTCCCCACTAGTGTGACCTTAGGTCGGTCACTTCCCTTTCCCTGTGCCTCAGTTTCTCCACCTATACAATGGGGACATCGGTAGGCCCTCCTTCGTAGAGCTTTGGGAGGGCAGTTAGAGATGAGGAGGCAAAGAGCCAGGTCCCTATGAGCGGTCTGGAAGTGTGCATGATGAGCGTCATGATGGCCACGTTGCTACTGTCACCCCCGTGTTTCCCCCGGGGAAGCTGACGCCCAGAGGGCCCAGGGTCCAGCCGGGACCGCACGGTGAGCTGGGCCCAGCCTGGGCGGCGGGCCTCGGGGCTCAGCCCCCGTCCGCTGCCCGCCAGGTGGTGGTGGCCCGCGTGGCCCGGGTGTGCAGGAACGACGCGGGGGGCTCGCCCCGTGTGCTGGAGAAGCAGTGGACGTCCTTCCTGAAGGCGCGGCTCAACTGCTCTGTGCCCGGGGACTCGCACTTCTACTTCAACGTGCTGCAGGCCGTCACGGGCGTGGTCAGCCTGGGCGGCCGACCCACGGTCCTGGCCATTTTCTCCACCCCCAGCAACAGGTCAGCGGCGCGGACGGAGAGAACTCGGGGCCCCGGTGGACGGGAGGGGGGGTCCCACATTCACTCATTGCCTGTTGTCCAAGGCTGGGCCAGACTGGACCCCCCACGAGGCCTTGACCCCCCCCCCCAGACCACACAGAGCAAAGCCGCACTGACCCTCCCAGACCCTTTGGTCAGCACTGGGCAGATGGGGGGCATCAGCACCCTGCCTTTGGAGGAGGGTCAGAGCTGCCGGAGCAGGGACACGGGGACTGGCTTCCGTGGTGTGAGGTGGAGGCAGAGGGAAGAGCATCCCACGCTGGAGGAACAGCATGTGCAGAGCTGAGAGGATAAATGCACGTGGTTGTTTAAACAACAGAGAGGAGCCCCTGCAGCTGGAACAGAGGGAGCAAAGGGGAGAGGGACAGCATGGGGGGGGGGGGCGCGCTGGGCTGCCGAGGAGCCTGGGTTTAGCCTGGAGCACTGGGGAGCCGCGGAAGAGCGAGGGGCAGAAGGATGGTTGTAAGGGGGCAGGAGTGGTGTCTGGGAGGCTGAGCATCAGGCACACGACCGGGGAGGCCAGGACATGGGCGGTTGCAGAGGAGCTGGACCAGGATCCCGTCTGAGCACAGTTCAGGCGGCAGTGACTGGATGGGGCAGTGGGTGACACCCTGGCGCAGGGGACTGAACACCCGACAGCCCCGGAGGACAAGGACACCTGCGCACACTCGCCTGAGGCAGCGCCTCCCACCAGGCTCACTGCTCCCCTCCTCTGCTTCCCAGCATCCCCGGCTCTGCCGTCTGCGCCTTTGACATGACACAGGTGGCCGCCGTGTTTGAAGGCCGCTTTCGAGAGCAGAAGTCTCCCGAGTCCGTCTGGACGCCGGTGCCGGAGGACCAGGTGCCCCGGCCCCGGTGAGCGCCCCTCCGTCCCAGACAGGGCCCCACGACCCGAGCTGGGACTCCCGGCAGCCAGCTGACCCGTTGCCCAGATGAGGGAATGAAGCCTTGGGGCAGGGCTTTAGGTCCCATGGAGAATCGGAGCCCCTACATGGGGGCCCCCCGGACTGCCCTGACCACCCCCCCGCCCCCCGCAGGCCTGGGTGCTGTGCGGCTCCCGGCATGCAGTACAACACCTCCAGCGCCTTCCCGGATGAGATCCTCAACTTCGTCAAGACCCACCCGCTGATGGACGAGGCGGTGCCCTCGCTGGGCCACGCGCCCTGGATAGTGCGGACTCTGACACGGTCAGCCCCACGAGTGGCTGGGGTCCCGGTGGGGTGGAGGGTGGAGATGAGAGCCCAGGACAGGGGGAGGGGGAGGAAGGCGGGCGGAGAGCAGTGTTGCTGGAGACAGCATGCAGCTCTGAGGACTGGCCGGAGACACAGAGAGACAGAGAGACAGAGACACAGAGGGACAGAGACACAGAGGGACAGAGACACAAAGAGGGAGGGACACAGTGAGGGACAGAGATTCAGGGAGGGAGAGACAGGCCCAGTGGGAGCCCAGGGGGGGTCTGTTTGGAGGAGGGCGGTGTGCAATTCTGTAACCACACCAGCGCCCACCTTGCCTACTGTGTGCGGCGTCTCTGTGTCTGCCCGGGGAAGGGGGGGAACCGAAGGGGTTCCAGACTGACCCTCCCGCCCTGGCCGCAGGCACCAGCTGACTCGCGTGGCTGTGGACGTGGGCGCCGGCCCCTGGGGCAACCAGACTGTGGTCTTTCTGGGCTCCGAGGCGGGCACCGTCCTCAAGTTCCTGGTCTGGCCCAACGCCAGTGCCTCGGGCACCTCCGGGCCCAGCGTCTTCCTCGAGGAGTTCGAGACCTACCGGCCAGACAGGTGGGGTCTGGCAGAGGCCGGGGGTGGAGCCGGCGGAGATGGGGCGCGGCCCCTGAGTCTTACTGAGCTGCTTGCCCCCAGGTGTGGCCGGCCCGGTGGCGGTGGCGGTGAGACGGGGCAGCGGCTGCTGAGCCTGGAGCTGGACGTGGCCTCGGGAGGCCTGCTGGCGGCCTTCCCCCACTGTGTGGTCCGCGTGCCCGTGGCCCGCTGCCAGCAGCACTCAGGGTGCATGAAGTGAGTGCCGGGCCCTCGCTGGGGGTGGGGGGCGGCGAGAGAGATGAGCACGGGAAGAGGGCGAGAGCGGAGTCTGAGATAAGGGCCCAGCAGCAGCCTGACGTGGTGAAAGATGAGTGGGGCGGAGGGCACAGTACGTGCACAGGCCCTGGATTGGGACCGTGACTGGGTTTTAGGGGAACAGTGAGGAGGCCCAGGCGGCTGGAGCGGAGTCAGGGAGGGGGAGGTGAGGGCAGGGAGAGGATGGGGCAGGTCATGCAGGGCCTGTGGGCCTTGGGGAGGACTTGGGTATTTACCTCAAGGGAGGTAGGGGCCCGGGAGGCCTGTGGGCGGAGGAGGAGTGGGACCTGAGGGACATTTTTAAGAGCAGCAGGAGCTGGGGACCAGGGAGGTGGCTGTTTTCTCTCCTCTAAAATGGGTGGAAAACCAGTGCAAAGTACTGCCCCCCCCAGCTCCGTGTGAGCCCCCCACACTGAGTAACCCGCCCACACCGCCGTCCTGGCAGTAGTGATGCACTGCACAGAGCCGGACACACGCTCTGGGGCAAGCCCGCTACGCTCCAACCCCGGCTCTGCTACCCCAAGCCCGTTTTCTCATCTGTGAAATGGAGGTGAACAGCCGGCCGCAGGGACTGGCTGGAACCCCGGGCAGCTGGTAGGTGGCTCTATGCAGGGGCTGTGGCTGACGGCCTGCCCGCCCCCTCTGCCCTAGGAACTGCATCGGCAGCCAGGACCCCTACTGCGGGTGGGCCCCTGACGGCTCCTGCATCTTCCTCAGCCCTGGCACCAGGTACGGGGGAGAGGTGAGGGAGGGGGTGTAACCCACCTGCTGATGGGGTGGGGGATCCCCCTCCTCTCCTCGGGCTCCCTGGGAGGCGCCCCTGCTGACCGTTTCTGCCTCGCCCCCCTCAGGGCCACCTTTGAGCAGGACGTGTCCGGGGCTAGCACCTCCGGCTTAGGGGACTGCACAGGTGAGCGGGGGAACGATCGGGAGGCCTGGGGACCCGCCCCTGGGGTGCTCCTGCCCTTTGTGTCCGGAGGGGGGGCAGGGGCGAGGACCAGCTTTGGGAGGTCAGGGGGCCCCACTCCCGGGGAGGGAGGGAGGGGGAGGGACAGAGAGCTCAGGGGACAGACAGATGCACGGACAGGCTCTGAACGGGACTGAGAGAGGATGAGAGACGGACAGACAGATGCCAAGAAACAAGCGGACCGACAGGCTTTCAGGTGACAGGGCAAACAGAGGGACAGACTCTGAGAGGACAGACAGACAGACCCCAGAGAAACAGGCAGGGACAGAGAGACAGAAGGCCCAGGAAGACAGACAGCGGGGTGGGCCGGGGTGGCCGGTGGGGCCCTCCCCGCCCTCTCACGCCTCCCTCCCCCCGCCCAGGCCTCCTGCGGGCCAGCCTGGCGGAGGAGCGCGCCGGGCTGGTGTCGGTGAACCTGCTGGTGACGTCCTCGGTGGCGGCCTTCGTGGTGGGCGCCGTGGTGTCGGGCTTCAGCGTGGGCTGGTACGTGGGCCTCCGCGAGCGGCGCGCGCTGGCCCGGCGCCGGGACAAGGAGGCCATGCTGGCGCCCGGCGGCGCGGTGCTGAGCGTGAGCCGCCTGGGCGAGCGGCGCGCGGGGGCCGCGGGGGCCCGGGGCGGCGGCGGGGGGCCCCCGGAGGCGCTGCTGGCGCCGCTGATGCAGAACGGCTGGGCCAAGGCCACGCTGCTGCAGGGCGGCCCGCACGACCTGGACTCGGGGCTGCTGCCCACGCCCGAGCAGACGCCGCTGCCGCAGAAGCGCCTGCCGGCCCCGCTCCCGCTCCCGCACCCGCACCCGCACCCGCACCCCGGCGCGCGCGCCTGGGAGCACGGCCCCCCGCTGCTGCCCGCCGGCCCCGCCGCCTCGCTGCTGCTGCTCGGCCCCGCCCGGCCCCCCGAGCAGCCCGGCCGCGCGCCCCACGCGGACTTCCCGCCCACGCCGCACGCCAGCCCGGACCGCCGGCGCGTGGTGTCGGCGCCCACCGGCCCCTCGGACCCGAACGCGGCCTGCGACAGCCTCCCGCGGCGCTGGAGCCCGCCGCCCACCGGCAGCCTCCGCCGGCCCGGCCCCCCCGGCCCCGCGGCCGCCTCGCTGCGCCGCACGCACACCTTCAACAGCGGCGAGGCCCGGGGGGACCGGCCCCGCGGCCGCCACGTGCGGCCCGGCGCGGACCTGGCCCACCTGCTCTCCTTCGGGGGCACCGACAGGACTGCGCCCCCCGTGCCCTAGGCTGGGGGCCCCCGACGCCTCAGCGGTGCCAGCCACGGGGATCAGAGCGAGCGATCCGGCCCGGCTCCGAGCGGCGCGCTCCGGCCATGCCCCCCTCCGGGGCGCAGGGCGAGGGCCCCCGCCCACGGAAGCACAAGGCCTGGCCCCCCACCCTGACGGGCCGCGGGACGTGCGGCGGTCTGGGGGAGCGGGAGGATGTGCTGTAGATTTGAGATTGACCTGTGCGTGGGTTTGGGTTTGTTTCCAATTTGCGGTTGTTGTTTTTTTTTTTTGCAGTTTTTCTACCCAATTGCACAACTCCGTTCTTGGGGTGGCGGCCCAGGGCTTGGAGGGGGCGGGATGAGGAGGGGCCACAGCTGCAGACCCCGGTGCCCCCCCTCCAGGCTCCTCCTTGACCTAGGCTCCTGGCGCGTGGGAGTGTGGTGTGTGTGTGTGTGTGTGTGTGTGTGTGCGCGCGTGCATGCCATGTTCGTGTGCAAGGGGCCGGGAAGGGGAGGGAGGTGTGCGTGTGAGGGCTGCTGCCGGCGTGTGCGTGGCGAGGGGCACTCATGCAGGGTGTGTGTCTGTGTGTCTGTGTGTGTGTGCGGCGGCCTGAGAGGCCTGGGCGTTTGGCTGAGCCAACACGGGCTTCCAGAAGGCCGGGGGGGCCTCCAACTGCCGGTCAGGAATTCGAGGGGAGACAGAGAAAGGGTGTTAGGGAGAGTCCAAGAGGGCCTGCCTGTGAGCCACACTGGCAGCAGCTGTGTAAGTCTTGGTGGGGGCGGGCAGCAAAGGTGGGTGGGCCCCCCTGTAAATATGGCCCCAGGGTGGTCAGAGGGTCCCACACCACCAGTCCCCTTGTGACCTCCCCTCCGACCTCCAGCTGACCATGCATGCCAGCTGAGTGGCCAGCTGAGACTTGGACCCTCTCTGGAACTTGCCTCCCCAACCCCCTCCCAATCAATAAAACTGTTTACAACCACCGGCCCCCAAGGCTCTGGGTCTGCTCTGTCTCCCAGGGGTGGGGCCTGGGCAGTGGCAAGGCCCCGATCAGCACCCACAAGACTCACGGCTGGGTCACAGCAGCCAACAGAATTCGGGGACGCTGAGTGCGGGAGCGCAGAGAGTTAGTGGGAGGCCCTGTCTTCGTATGGATGGGGCCGGTTTCTGATTGGCCTTTCAGCAAATATTTATTGTGTACCTACTATGTGCCAGGCACCATGTGGGGACAAAGACCTCTGTTCTCAGAAGCTCACAGCCTAGTGGGGAGACTGACCACTTACAAGCAAATTAGGGCTTGGTTTGCAGTAGTAATATGTGTAATATAATGAAAGCCAGGTAATATGCTCAGCAGCGGGGACTGTGTGTGTGGAGAGAGAGGGGGGTCAAGGAGGGCCTGCCAGGGGTACCATCTGAGCTGAGACGGGGAGATGGAGAGATGAGCAGATAGACCCTTTCAGGCGGAGGGAACAGCCAGTGCTAAGGCCATGCGGTGGGAATTCACCTGGAGGATGGGGGAGGCAGCCAGTGTAGCTGGAGCAGCGGGTGAGGGCAGACCAGGTGGCCATGAAGAGGGAGGAGAGGAGAGGGCCCAGGCGGGCAGGGCCTTGCAGGTGAGGAGTACAATTTTTTTAAACTGTGGTGAAATATGCATAAATCCACATACATTCAAATGTGCCACTTGAGCCTTTTTAAAGTGGCCGCTTCAGGGGCATGAAGTCCATTCACATTGTTGGACAGTCACCCCCACCATCCATCTCCAGCACCTTCTCACCTTCCCAGACTAAAAACCCCATCCTCACTAAACCCTAACTCCTCTTCCCACCCCCACTCGCCCAGCCTCGCGGGTGTTAAGCTGGACTAGGGAGCCAGCGGAGAGTTTTTAGCAGGGGACGTGGGTCTGCTTTCATTCTGAGAGGTCGCTTTCACGTGATGTCACTCCAGGTCACAGCCCTTCCTTCCAGCCCATGTCAATTAAGCACCGACCGTGTGAACAAGACAGACCTGGTTTCCTCTTGTCATGGGGGGAAGGGGGGACACTGATAATAAAGAGACACAAATCCTCTGACGGCATCTAACAGCTCCTCCTGAACCTGTGTGTGTCTGTGTCTTTCAGCTTGAGATATAATTGACATGTAACATTGTGTACGCTTCAGGTACACAACCTGATGATTTGATGAACGGATATATTGTAGGATGATCCCCACAATGAGATAAACCTGTCCGTTACCTCCCACAGTTACCTTTTAGTGTATGATCAGAACATTCACGATCTACTCTCTTAGTAACTGCCAACACAGGATCATCCACAATAGCCACACCTGCCAATATAGTATCATCCACAATAGCCACCGTGCTGTACATTAGACCCCAGAACTTACTCATGTCTGTAGATTTGTACCCTGAGATCAACATCTCTCCTCCCCATTACCCTCCTACCACCTGACGAAAACCATCCTACCACCGGTTCCTAGGAGTTCATTTTTACATCCCACATACACATGAGATCACAGTATTTGCCTTACTCCATCTGACTTATTTCACTTAGCATAATGCCCTGAAGGTTCTTCTATGTTGTTGCAAATGGCGGGATCTGTGTCTTATTTAATGGCTGAAGTGTGTGTGTGTGTGTGTGTGTGTGTGTGTGTGAATAATGCTTCTGTAAACATGGGGAAGCAGATATCTAAAGAATAGTGATTTCATTTACTTTGAATAAACACCCAGAAGTGGAAATGCTGGATTTTTTAATTTTCTGAGGAACCCCCATATTCTCTGTAGCACCAATTGACATCCCCACCAACAGTAGTGTGGGGAGACATCCCTTTTCTCCACATCCTCACCAACACTGGTTACTTCTTGTCTTATTGATAATAGCCATTCCAACAGGTATGAGGTGATACCTCACAGTGGTTTTGATGTGCATTTCCCTGATGATCACTGATGCTGAGCATCCTTTCATATATCTGTTGGCCATTTGTATGTCTTCTTTGAAAAAATCTCTCTTCAGGTCCTTTGCTGGTTTTTTGTGTGTGCCTGTTCTGTGTGGCTGTCTCTGTGGGCCTGCCATTCTGTCCTGTGTGTCCTGCCCTGTCCGTGTGTCTGTTAGGTTCTGTCTATGTATTTTTGTTTTATCTCTGTCAGTATCTCTGTCTGTGGATTCATGTGTAACCTATCTTTCATTCTTTATCTGTGCCTGTCACTGTCAACTTGTGTGTTCTGTCTCTAAGACAGGATTCAGTCATCATCACAGCTGAATAGGGATGAACCCTTCAGAGATGGGGCAGGGAGAAAAGGCCATAGCCAGGCAAAACAAATAAAATAACAAAGCACACCTGAATTTTTAGAACTCAACCAGAATGAAAGCACTTAATAGCAAAACCCATGAGGTGCAGCCAAAGCCATTCTCAAAGGGAAATGCATAGCCTCCTAAGGCATTCATTAGTAACAACCCAAAACAAATGGTGCATCAGCTTAGGGTGAAGAAAGAGCAATACCTGAAATCCATATAATTTTATTAACCAATGTCACCCCAATAAATACAATTTTTAAAGAAAGAGCAGTTGGGACCTTTGGAGATTGAATTCAACTTCACAGATGGGGAAACAAAGGCCAAGAAAAGATAAGCCACATGCCCTCAGTCACAAAGCATAGCAGTCGTAGCGCATCTGGAATTCAGAAATCGGTTTAGTCCCTCCCAGCTCATTGTTCAAAAACTTCCAAGACTTCTGGCATCACTCGCTTTTATACTCTATTTTTAAAAAGTTATTTCAATAAAAATGTATCCAACAACATGTCATAAATTCAAGACAAGTGTTTTTTGTTCTCTCCACTGCACTTCCTGATTGCTCAAATGTGTCACAAACAGGACCTCTTGTCCCCATCTCCAGGACTGGCACCTTGCGAACTTGACCCCTGATTCCTGGGTTGGGGGTGGGGGCAGTGGGACTCACTCCCAGAGACTCGGGGTGCCCACTCTCCCACAGCAGGGATCAGGGGAAGGAAAACTGGACCGAAACAGGAACAGCCCCTCCGCTGTCCTCCCCCTGCCAGGAAACAATTTTGCAATCTTGGCTCCTCCCTTTCCTGTCACTGGCTCAAGTTCAGGACCTATCCGGAATAGGATGTAAGTGGGTGGGGACTTCCCTATGGTTGGTGCCCCTGCCCCCAGCCCAGGTAGGTATAAGGCCACCTCACCAGACCAAAGGAATCTGGATGGAAGAGAGAGAGGCCACCATGTCCTCTTGGAGCCCAGAGGGAAGCCAGAGGTAGGTCCCCACCCTGCCACTCACGGGCAAGGCTTGGACACCAGGCAGTGCATGGACGTTCCGTCTGACCCACTGAATTCACAGGGGAAGACGTAGGCCTCCTGGCTGGGACAGACCAACACTCAGGCTCTAACTAGGACAGGATTGCTCCCATACACACACTCACCTGCAGATGTCCCAGGCAGGGCGTGAGAACCCACCCCGACCTCAGAGGCCTGCTGGGGGGGACCGGGAGGAGCAGAAGCCCCAGCCCTCTCAGGGTTACAGTGCCAACTGCAAACCACCCAATATCAAGGCCAAATGCCTGCCCCCAAGCCTGCTTTGGGCACTTTTTTTTTTTTCCTTTGGACATTTTTCATGTTCAAAGTCCCATTTGCAACTGGAGTCCTGGCTTGTACCTAGGTGCTTGAAGCAAGTTGGACACAGATAACCTGACCTTGTTTCATCAGGGTTGGAAAGAAAAAGTAGGATCACAGAGGTGGGGGAGCCATGAGTTCTGCTTGGGAAAGTCAGAGAAAGCTTTGTGGAAAAAAAGGGGCATTGGTATTGGGGGCTTTGCAGGATGGGTAGGAGTTCACTGGCTCTGCCTTCAAAACATGAAGAGGAGGAGGAGGTGACTGCACTAGTCCAGAGGATCAATGAGAAGGCATGGTTCTGGGGAGCAAAAATGGAAGGAAAGAAGTGGGCATGTTCTGGGTATATTTTCACTGAGTTGGGTATATTTCTATTTTGGCTCATTAAGCACCTTCTGTCATTGCCTCCAGCCCAAGGGTCCTGGACCCCCATCTTTCTAGAATCCTGTTCCTGCTGCTACTAATTGTGGCCCCCTCAGTCCAGGAGGTCACCTCAAACCCTGAAGCCTGCCAGGTGTACCAATCAAGCAATGGCAGCTCCGTCAGCTGCTCCCCACCTGCCAAACTCCCCCGGCAGCTCCCCGCCGACACCGTCATGCTGTCTGTGGAGTTCTTCAACCTCACCCAGCTGCCACCCGAGACCCTCCAGGGCGTCGCTAACCTCCAGGAACTGCACCTTTCCAGCAACGGGCTGGAGACGCTGTCAGACAAGCTCCTGTTGCCTGTGCCTCAGCTGAAGGTGCTCGACCTGACCCTCAACGCCCTCACCCGGCTGCCCCCCGGCCTCTTCCAGGGCTCCGCCGCCCTCCACACCCTGGTGCTGAACCAGAACCAGCTGGGAGCCCTGGAGACCTCATGGCTGCAGGGCCTGAAGGCCCTGAGGCACCTGGACCTGTCTGGGAACTGCCTCCGGACACTGCCCCCCGGGCTGCTGGCCAACCTCACCGACCTGCGCGTCCTTAACCTTGGCAATAACCAGCTGGAGACTTTGCCCCCTGACCTTCTGAGGGGCCCCCTGCAGTTGGAATGGCTGTACCTGGAGGGCAACAGGCTGCAAGCACTGGAAGGGGGCCTGCTGGAGCCCCAGCCGAACCTGAGCTACCTTTTCCTGAGCGGCAACCGGCTGGCCACGGTGGCAGCCAGCGCCTTCCAAGGCCTGAAGCAGCTGGACATGCTGGACCTGTCCAACAACTCGCTGAGCACCGTGCCCAGGGGTCTCTGGGCGTCCGTGGGGCAGCGCGGGGCAGCCCGGGACATGAAGGAGGGCTTTGACGTCTCCGGGAACCCCTGGAATTGCGACCAGAGCTTGGAGGACTTCTATCAGTGGCTTGTGGACAATAGAGACAAGATGTTCTTCCGGAACAGCACG